CCGTTGACCGGACACTATTAGCAACAACGTACTGTGGGAGAGAACAAACCAGATCTCAGTGGATGAAGAAATTAGGAATTAGCGCTGAAAGTAGATAGGACACACATTGAGGAAAGCACCCAACTGTGTCACAAGACAAGCCCTCACATGGAATCCTCAAGGCCAAAGGAGGAGAGGAAGACCAAAGAACACATTACGCCAAGATATGGAAATAGATATGAAAAAGATGAACAAGAATTGGATGGTATTAGAAAAGGAGTCCCAGGACAGAGTGGGTTGGAGAATGCTGGTCGGCGGCCTATGCTCCGTTGGGAGTAAGAGACATAAGTATAAAAGTAAGTAAAGTAATACCGACTTCAGAGCAGTTAGTTTCACTTTATTAACTGGATTTTATAATATTCCGAAAATGGGTCTGTATCTCAAAATCTAATACCTTAAGATACAATATTTGCTGAAATGCGATCTAATCATAGTTCAACCCTAATTAATTGCCACTTCTGGGGGGGGGGCAGGAAATATTGTTTGGACTCAGTGGATAGTGCATATGTCTATAGTTCTAAAGCTCGAAAAATTGCTCGATAAGAATCAATCAACGAGATCTGAAAATTTCTTAACTTTAGTTAAAATAAGGTGAACGCTTAATATTTACTCTTTGTCTATATTCATATGTATTCTAGGATTAATCTATAATTTTCCGCCAAACATGTCATTATGTACAGTTTCTGAAATGAATAAATGTTTAGGTATTCTCTACTGTGACGTATAGTATTATTGTTGAATATTGAGAATAATCAAAATACAAAAGCACACACTTGAAAATATGTAGCTATATTATTACTTCGGCAAAAACTTAGAACATTTTAAGGATAAACATATCACAGTAGCAAAAAGATGTAAGTGCTTTTATCCAAATATTATATTACCCGCTTCAATTTTACACTTTCAATTTTATACTCTTTAAAGAATCATTTTGGTTATTGATTTATTAGTTTATCATGCAAATATGTAAATAGATGAAATGAATCTTTTTAAATTATTAGAACAAAAAAAAATAGAATATTTATACACAGTATATAGGTAAGTTTGAAAAATGAGGATCTTGATTACGAAAAACTTGTAGCAACTTTATAAAAGAAGAATGTATTTGTAAAATTTCAGCGAATGAATTTTAAGTAAATCCAACATTTCGCCTGACAATTAGGTTCAAACTTTTTCAAGGAAATATAATCAAACATCAAGATTACCGAATAGCCGAATACAAATACAAATACATTCTTCCTCTTTAATGTCTCATATCAACTCGGCGCTCAAATACTGAGAAACTAATCAATCAAATTTAGATGAAAGTTCTTATTTGTAGCAGCTTCTCTTTGCATATATATGAAAACATTTTTGAAGTTTTAATAAGTGTACAGTTTATTTGTTTGTATATATATATTAAAAAACAAACAAAATTATTCTGCTTCCTTCCGACTATTTTTGTATACTTGATTCAAATGGTGCTGTTCGTTGTGCGAGTGCAAATACCGTTTGTTAGCTTTTTATTATTACGAACTCAACTGTCATTGGTATATCATTATCAGGCTCAAAAGTTACACATGGATAATGGATTAATTTATATACTTATTATATTTAAAGTCAGTTAAACGTACTACATAATCAATAACTCTAGGATTTCAGACCATAAGTTCTGTCTTTGTAGGTTATCAAAATTGACTGTATGATCTTTATTTGAGTTATGATATGATAGTCATAGTTCGAAAGTGGATTTAGCATCAATATATATAACGATTAAAACAAACATATGTTATAGAAAAATAAATTCTTGAACATATTTAAAAACAGACATTATGTGTTATGTAAATGAGCATCATAATTTTATTACAGAGATTATAATGTAGATGATATCACATCTTTTAGGGATACTCTTAAAAAGAATAGAGTTCACTTGAGTTTTATAGTATTTTTTGCTCACTTTATGACTGATCATTTTAACAAAAAATAATCATTTGATATGACCACCCAACCAGTACCACTATGAGTAACTGTACAACATAGTGCGCGATGAACTGGATATAATTTATGGTTTTCACGAAACATCACTGGCACAATCATCTTTAATTGACAAACACTTAACGGGATTTACTCTACAAATACATTAATCTACAGTATTTCAGACATTCATTCCTTATTTTACCATGAATCATCTAAACTCTTTGTATCAAACGAAGACAGTGCTCAGTAAACAGTTATTCAAGTTATCAATTCGATGTAGGAATAATAAACAATAAACAATGATGATTTATTTGTTGAATATATTATAACGTTTAAAAAGTTCTTATATCTGTTCACTTATATTGGTTGCATTAACCGACAGCTATCTGAGCTTGGTAGCTGGTTGGATAGTGCGGTGACATTTGAAGCGAGAGGTACTGGGTTCGAGTTGCAGAGTGAACGTAAACTCTGAGATGCAGGTACATTCAGCTAACAAGTCCCAAATAAAACAAAACGCGCATCCTGAACTGCTGGACATTATCCATGTCTGATCATAATGCTTAAACATATCTATATGGAATTTAATCACATTAATTTGTTAGTTTTCAATCGTCTCAATATACCTATTATCTAAGAAAAATTACAGTTTATAACACTAATATTTCCGTACCTTTTTTTCTAAATAAACTTTCGGCTCACTGCCGGGAGGTTGTAGCTAAGGGGTTTAGAACCATATGCATTTTAAGACGGACATTCACCAAGTTAGATACTAACATGTTCACTTCAGTATACACAACATTAGTAAAAACTAAGCTTGAGAACTGCGTTCAAGCTGCAACCCTTGTTTAAAAGGTGACTTAGATACATTGAAAACGATATAGAGAGTAACTATCCATGCAATTCCAGAGCTCCGATGTCTTCTACATAAAGAGCGGCTTGAAAAGCTATATTTCTTTGCTCCGTCCTACCGCAGATATTGAGGAGATCTGATTTTGATGCATAGAATACTAAGAAATGATTTTCGACCCGATATACCCACTCTTTTTATTCCGACCAGATCAGGACAACACATAGAGCATAGCAGGCGAGTAGAAAAGCCAGGAACGAATGAAATACTCGTGGCATACAGGTTCTCCTACTGAGTAGTTAATTCTTGTTAACCGAAGCAGTAGTATCTGCACCTTCAATTGACTCATTCAAGAGAAGACTAGACACTCACAAAAGCATACTAGAAAAGGAATAACATAGGCCATTAGCCTTCACTCCTTAATACACAAATATGAATCTGAATGACTGATTTTTGAATGGGTTTTTAGTGATCCCTAATCATTTTAATCATAAAGACTTAATCACTATGCAATCCTATGGAAAGTTAATAATGACGGAATGATACTAGCTGTCATGTGACATTTTTTCAACCTTTGTATGTTTTATTGATGGATATCTATTTTCATTTACTGATATTACTTCTTGTCTATTACCATAGTTGATGATTCACTGTTAACTCTGAACATATTTTAGCTGTTCTCGCCTTACTTGTATCTGACATTTCAACTTTAATTGGTTATTTATAATTCATCCACTATTCACTTTATATAAAGACTAAATCATATTTTATTCAGTAATATATCTATTCAGTTTTCATGTTCATTTTCTTCAGCTTGTCCTGTTTAAATGAATGTCTGAAATACAACTCGTGTTTGACTTTTTATTTCTATTTTGTTTTAAGGTGATTAGTTGACAGAAGATATACGAAGTTAAATAGGCAATGCATATTTCATTAGCATCATCACTGTTTAACCGTACTGGACACTAAAAGTTCATTTACATATTTATTCCATTTGATATACACATATTAAAGTTTATGTTATTTTAGCAAAGTTATCATTAAAAGGATTACTACTATCAAGATTACTGAGTGATATGTTATGCATCAATATTTCAAAGTGGATTTTTCGTTAAATGACTAAATTTATTACCGAATAAAATGATAATCAAAAGACGTTATTATATCTTAATAGATATCAGTTGATTGACTAAAGAATTAAATAGATGTCGTACCAATGAGCCACATTTATTTCAAACATTGTCAAATTGCGATGGAAGGCTGTATAATTCACAAGATAAACTGTTTTATTCTATTCATATATGACTGTGTCCAAACAGCAGTGTCGAATTACTTCTGTAAGTCATAAAAGTTTGAAAGATTACCTAAGAAACTCTATCATGATGAGGCAAATATATCTTATCACTTAATAACTTTTTATATCGCTTAACTACCAGAATCAAGAATAAATTCATAAGTCGATTTTACATATGAAATATTTAAATATTTGGATTCACATGATCGTTTTGATTTAGGTGTACATTATTTTATTGAGATAAATCAATAATTTGACTATAAACATAATGCCGATCAGAGTCTACAGTCAATGTCTCACAAAAACGTTTCGGCACAAAATTTCTGAACTGCGATCTGGCAATACGCTGCGATAGAATAACGCCGCTGTCATTGGTGATTGGGTATCTTATTCCCTATCTAGTTTACTTTATTGGTCAATGTTTCTTAGTAGTCCAAGTCATTATAGTCGCCACAGTACCAGAAGATCATGGACTCCACTGCTTGCGTGTTCATCAATGGGCACTGTTGGGAAGTTTCAAATTATTAAAAAAAATCTTTTTATTGTTTTCTGGTTTTTGATGGTGCTTTAAACCTAATAACATTTATTTATACTGATGTTGAGAAATGAGTTATTTGTGAATATAAAGCTTTTAAATAAACAATTTGCTTTTCATTTCTGAAATAAAATAATGGAAGTAAATAAACTACTAATTATCCCAAACAGCTAAGTTTTTCAATGTTATACTCAATTAAAGCGAAACTCATAAAACACCACTTTTACTTAAAATGATATTTATCGCTCAATTCACTGAACTATATTTATTTTTGTATTTTCATACACATAGTTCCCTTTATTATTTTAAAGAAAGCAAGAACAAAGTTTGGTGCGGAATAGTATGAATTCATTTTATTTCGTTAGGTTCTCATCAGCTGCTTACAACCCAAAATATTTGAAATTCAACGTTATTATAGATATTGACATACTTATACATCAGAGGGTAATGAAGGATGAATATATGTAACATGATGTAGCAAAGATTTCGTTAGAGTTAATGAGGTCATAAAATGTTGTTTCGAATATATAGAGTTTAGGAGGGAAGGTTCCAGATCATTGAAATAGTAATTAGAAGTCATGAAAATAGATTAATGGTAATAAAGAAAATATGAATTGAAATCAGTCAGTTACGTATGATGTAATTTAAAAGAGTTGTATTAATGACGCAATAAATAAATAGAGAAACAAATGAGTAGAAAAAGGGGGTTATTGTTACCAGGATAAAGAAAGATTTATTACTGTCTCTTTTTGTATACATAGATCTGGTTTTAGACGCTTGATTGCTATTGCTTCGGCAAATTTCAAGAGGTTGGAGTTTGATTGTTTGCTAATCACCTTGAAGGACTGCAGTATACCAACTTCATATCATGTGTCAAGGAGATGTCTTGCGATGGCACTGGTGGATGCTTTTATTCCATTTAATCTTAAACTTTTCGTAATATGTTCTTTGAATCGGACGTAGGCTCTCCTTTCTGTTCTATCAATGTAACTGCTTTGGCAGATACATGTAGATTTGTATATACAGTTGGTGGTGGTAATAAAATATATTTCTTTAAATTTTATATCTGACACCAAAAACTAAACAATCCTTCATTAAACAATAATGATAACCGTTAGTAATGGTAAAGTTAACTTGTTTCATATTTACTGTGATCTAAGTCATAAGGTTCCATGTCATATGTGCATAAATTTAAAAAAACAAACATGAAAATATAAAAAAAGATGTTCTTGTTATTTGTTTTGACCGTACATGACAGGTGAAACTTGTGGTTAATAATAATAATAATATTCAAATGGAAAATATTTGATAGTTATATTAGTAAGAGTTTGAGCTTTCTCACTATAGCAAGAACTTGTAAATACAGTAAATATCGAGACAATCTGCTCAGGATGCTCACATTTCAATGTAGAATGATCAAATGTAGTCTTTATTATCAAAAACTGAAAGAAATAAACTCTTGTAAACGTAACATGATGCACATCGAACAGGTCAGTGATTATAAAGTGGAAATTGTTAAATTTTCAAATGACTTGAGATGGAAAATAATTGAGTGTAAAATTTTGATTTTACTAATTAATACCAACTAGTAGTTGTCTAGCTGATATATGATTAAACTAACACATGATTTGTAGAAATATCATAGAAAAGATCTGGTAGAACAAATGTAAGGTCTTAGTGTAACTCTGATATTATTACATTGTGATGTTGCGTTCTTTCGGCTTCATATTTTATTTGTTAAGCTTTAATAGTCATCTCAGACAATATCCACAAATTCTCATTAAAATTTTACCGAGTACATTTTCATCAGTTGCATAACGACCAATGAAAACTGTTCAGTTACATCCCTACTTCACGTAAGATTATTAAGGATAAGTGTTCAAGTAAACATTATTATGGTGTTCTTATGACTAAAAATGCAAACTTGTACACGTCTATGTACTCACAATTTATTTACATCCTCTCTTTAAGGTATAATGTTACTTCTCACTGGGAAACATTTCAGTGCGAAAAACTATATAATTGTACGTTAAGTGCTGTAATTATTTAACTATTTTTCCCGTCAAATACATTAATAGAATATCAGTTTTTATTGTTCTGTCAAGTAAAACATTATTCCGTTTGAAATCACTGTTGACAATCAGTATATATTTCAACAATAATGTAGTTGGTTAATAAAAGGGACTTTAATTTTATCAAGCGTAATTTACTTTATTTTGGCAAGCTCTCACAAATCTCGGCAATACAACATTGATAAGTGGATTTATTAAATATTCCATGATGTGTATGTTAGCACAATTATCACATGTTATGTGATTTTTGTCATGGCTAGTTACATTGAATCTTACTGGAATTTTGTTAAGGATAATTAAAGGACTTAATATATTTATCTATAAGGCTCATTCTATTGCGAACACAATTAAATTTCCAGCCTCCACAAGTTATTACATTCTGAAATATAGAAACAACAGCTAGTTTGTTTAATGTTGAAATTTAACTTTCTGAATAATACCGTACTTTAGCTATATACTATTTTTATCTCATTATTAATGTACTTGAAAGTAGTCTCGCGAATAACAAGTTATGATGAAATTTCAGAAAAAACTGAGGTCTATAAAGTCTGTCTAAGATAAAACGACTACAATTATTCTATACAAAAATATCACATTATAATTTACGCAATAATTTGTTAAAATAACCCTTGAACATCGTCCGGTATTTACATAAAGATTGAGAAAAGATTGTTTTATCAGGAAAACGATGATTTATCACAGACCTCCAATTATCCCTGGTTTTCACTGGTACCCTATGTGATATTAGCTTGTCAAGTAAACCACATGAAAATAAAACCAGTTTCCACAGATCTCTATAGCTACAATCCTATGCTCATCATTATTTAAATTCGAGATGCTTTGACGAAGCTCATATGAGAAGTCGTGTTTTGTGAAGTTCATTCACATCCTGAGGCAGTTATCCTCTATGGGATTGAATGATTACTTCTCTGTAAGACGAAACGACTGATATTAAAAATGTAGTTCACTGGACTTCAAAATACTGGTTGAGAAATAACGTACTTACCTCATGACTAGTCATTCCTAAGTTGGATTCATCGTGAGTCCATGAATGTGAATTGTAGTTCAGACTTTAAGTAAATCACATGAAGGTTTATTGAAGTCAATGAAGTGGTAGATGCTCAATGTTTCTTGGTTTTTATTAGTTTACTTGAAGCAATTTAGTTTTGAAATAACTTCTAAATTGTATAGATTGTTTCGACAAAACAATGTCAAAAAATAATGATCAACTGCTTAATTTTTACCGGTTTCAGAGTGGATTTTTCGAAGTTCAATTCACGAGCCAAGACTTGGTGTGCCAACCAATTTCCAGATCAAATATTTATTCACAGATTCAATAAGAAAAAGACTGTGTTTTAATTGAGGACTGACTGGAATGTGATATATTAGAACACTGAATAAAAACTGAATGGCTGAACGTTATTGTGCTGGTTGCTATAATTCAGGACTAATTATTCATGAGTGGAGACTGTTTACTAGTTTTAAATAATTCTTACCGAATATTAGTTTGGAATAAATTAAAATAACGCTCAATATTTCCATAAAAAAACCATATGAAAATCATATTACACATATTTGTATATGTATATACCATATAGGTGTGTTCAAAGCATCACTTAGGGACATGCTTAATCAGAACTTCCAGTCAGTTGTCTCCACATTTAGTGGATGGGTATTGAATATTAGAGTGTATGTTTTATCAGAGGTCTCATTTCAAGCCCTAACTTATACTATACTTGTGTATCTCATCCGACATTTATTCAGTTTTACTGGACATGCTTATACTAGACAGTTGCAAACAACTCCAGGGTTGATTGAAATGAAATATTAACATAAGGGAAAATGACTGAAATTGCCGAGTATTACACAACTAGTGAGAACGATAAACACTGAGGATAACATCAACAACAAAAACATCTACAGTTTAATTTCCATATACTCTGCTTTCATTTTCGTTCATCATTATCTTAACAAGTTGTAACTTTAGGTACACATCTAAAATAAATAAAAGATTTACAGAAATAGTTATATCACTCATCAAATAAATAAATGTATTTAACAGCCTAAACAAACAAGAAACATTAAACTAATGAGTAAAAGATTTAATAAATTAATTATTGAATTTGTTTAAATTGATACAGATACAACAATAAAGAACCATACGGTCAAGTTGAATATTTATTTATTTAAACACATAAACATTGGTTTTGACCTAACGGCCTAATCCACAAGGCAGTGGAGCCACGTAAGGAGATGCAGTCTCATGGTAGCCGGTGACTAACAGTTGGTTTATACGCCATTTGTTTCTTAAGGATCCTGGAGCCCATGTGCATCACTAGTTTGGAATCAGGGTTTTTCAACTCTCCTATTTGGATCCTCCATATCCACAACCCAGTTAAAGCGCCGGATATTCGCTTTTCATCCTCTGAATTTCGTAAGCAACAGTAATGCCTCGATAAGGCAGTGAGTAGGATGCACGTGGCCATGTGAAAGCATTTCGGGAGGGAGAGTTGACTCTCCACACTCTCAGTCATACCAGGGTATTTGGGGGTGTCAAATTGAATACCAAGAAAATGAATGGAAAAATACAGTTTTCTTGTTCACTGAAATTATTTCATATATATATGAAGCTTTTTCTTATTTCAAAATAATATTACCTTTTCATTACTAATTTCAACAAATTTATTCACATAAAAATAAATCAATATAAAATAGCTTTGTACATTGACTTTCTTTGAATATTTAAGGATGATATTTACATTTGCGTTGATAAATTAAGTTCAGTTTCGCTCATTCGTAATTATTCTATAATTGTAAGTGTGAGGTCTTTTTTTTATGAAACATGTAAGTACATGTTTCCATCAAATCACTCAACGATTATGATTTGAATAATGAAGATCATTACTTATTGTGATACCATCATGAATTTAGTATTAATAGATTACAACACTGTAAGGTATTTTTATGTCTTGTGATTGAATCGTCAATCAATTTGTTTGATTATATATTCTCATCATAGCTTCTGATTAACACTTTAGAATAGAAATTTGATATGATGCCTAATACTCTTCTTTATTTACATATTTGATCTTTTCTCTCTCAAACACAAAGATTGTAAATCGTATTCTTTATTACCTTTCCACATTTAGCTATGATTATTCACTGCTACAATCTTCTGTGTTGGCTTTCATGTGTTTCCAAATATTTGGAAGTATGGTACGATAGTACTTATTTCAATAGTTTATTCGAATGATAGAAATCACTAATGGAGATTTGTAGTGTATATATTGATAGATGTAAAGTAGAGTGACATGGTTGTTAGTGCAATCACTTATTTGGAAAACCACTGATATGGGAATTAACCTTGAAAAGATTTATTTGTCGTAACAGAATTCTAAACATTGAAACTCCTTAGATTGACGATGTAAAGTTTGTTAAAAATCCAGGATACGTGTATAGCAAATAACCATATATTTCAAATACCATACAAAATTCATCTTCCAAACGTAGGATTTTAACACTTTCAACTTAAGCGATAAAAGTACAATCTCTCAGAGTCATTTGATTAATTATCGAGATGCATCAGTCTAAACTCATCACAGATAGCTAGATCACAAGTATCTGTGATCAGTAGCTTTAAGAAAATCTTCACTTATAAGATACCACTCGATACATATTTTATTTTCCGAAGCTTCAACTATACACTTTTTTGACTTTTACATCTATTAAACATAACGAGCTGCTGAGAAAATGCTTAAGGTTGTTTAATATTGAAGTTTCCATAATATCCAGAAATTATTTTAAACGAAAAAAGAATTCTTCTCTGATATCTATGACATCAGTCTGTTCATTAGAATTCTAAAGTACTGGTTGGCAACATGAAGCTTCCAGCTTTACCATTAATTATTTCAAACAAATTACTGTACATCAGCTTAACTTTAAGAAAGATTATAAATGAGGCAGTAGGAAAAATTAGTGCAAGTACGTTAAGATACCTTTTGAAAATGAAATTGTCCAGTGATGCTGCACAAAATGAGTTGAAACCATGAGGATCGAAATTGTCTTTTTTTAGTTTTCCAAAGTGGCACTTTCAGGATTATTGCTGGTTCTAACCATGGATACAGAAGAGGGGTGGGGTATGTTAGTATCGTCATCCCGTAGAAAAACGCTTTGGTAAAAAACACTACAACCATAAAGAAAATCATTTCAACCACTCAATTGTTGCCCCTCGAATTGAATGATCTTCATTTAAAAGTGTTATGAAAGCCGAGATTTTTCAAAAATCACGGAGCCAATGACCCTTTTAAAACAAGTACGTCAATAATATAAATGAATAGAATGCCTGAAAAATATGGGAGACTGAGAGCACCCGTCAAACGGCTTCGGAAATTAAGAGATACAACATAGCGGTGATCGGAATCAGTGAAACCTAATGAATCCAAGATGGATGCAGTTAACGATTTGAACTTTTCTCTTCCATCCTCAACGCATACAAGTAATAAAGTGAGATTCTCAAACACAACACAGAGAATCACATTTGATATAGAGGCTCTGGAAGGTGTGTAATCTTACACGCACATGGACGGCATCATCGATGACCAAGGAAGATTGGTTGCGAATGGCAAGTCGAGAATTGGCAAAGCAAGGACAGCATTCCTACAGTTGAAGAACATAGAACTCGAAACAACTGTCTGTCAACCACTATCAGTCAGAATCTTCACTAAGAACTTCAAGACAGTTCTACTGCATGGAGGGAACTAAAACTTGGAGAACTACCACAACCATCATCAACAGAGTACAAGTATTTATAAACATTTTTCTACGCAAGATACTTAACATGCGTTGGTCGGGTACCATTAGCAACAACCTACTGTGTAAGAGAACAAAACAGCTTTCATCTGTAGAGGAAATTGGGGAAAAACTCTGGAAGTAGACAGGAGATACATTTCGGAAATCATCAAACTGGATCACGGGGCAGGTGCTAACTTGGAATCTTGAAGGGAAATTGAAAAGAGGAAGAATTAGGGTTAGTAGAATGTATACATAAAAAAATGAACATCAACTGGATACAAGTGGAAAGGGTATTCAAGGACAGGATTGTTTGTAGAATGCTGGTAGATGGTCTATACTCTTCCACGGGGGGTAAGTTAGCACAGTTTGGAAAATGTAATATTTCATACTTACTGACTCTTCATTAGTCTCACCGTAAATCCTTGATATTCTTTTACTATTAAAATACAGTAAGACTAATTTGTGTAGGTCTATAAACATGCAATCGAATAGACATTGAAATGAGATAACTGTTAACTTATACTCCTATAAGTGAAAGTGATCAATAATAGGATTGTTAAAAAGCATAATTCACATGATTTCTGGGCCAAAAAAAGTTACAGTTTTGAATAAAATTCTACTAATTAAAGTTCATTTTTATTATTAATTAGTGTTTCTTATATCTCATACACTGATTATTCAAAGTAACCAATAACAAATAAAAATAGTGCTAAACTACAAGCATAGTAACAACTTAGTAATTAAACATCCAATAAGATTAATTTATTTCGTAATAATGAGGGTGTAAAATCCTGATCTGTGTTGATCTCATGTTGAATTAACTATAAAAGATTGTATACATATAATAAAAAACTGAATTATTCAATATTTTAATTCAAATAATGATGATTATAATATTGTTTCTTACTTTATCAAATATATTTAACTTTAACTGTGCACAACATCAAACAAACTTACTTGCTGATATAGTAAAATCAAGATGTACTCACTGGAAGATTGAACATGGAGCGACTAAGTAAGTTTGTTTGATGTTATTGTTAAGAAACTTATAATAACTAAATATTACAGGGGTTTTTTTCGAAATAAAATAATATTATTATGAATATCATAGTTATATGAATTAGACAATCATATATTAAATACGAAGATTGTTAATTAGTGATTTAAAAGTTATTTTGATCAGGGAAAAAAAATCGTATAGGAAACAATTAAGGATAAAGGAATTAACGGACATTAGTTTCTTCCCAGTTTGATACTTAACAGAAGTTATCATCCATAACAACAATGATATTTAAGATCACATAATCTGATTGTAATAATTCAAATTCCCATCTCAAATTATAATGCGCAATGTAATGTGATATTTATATCATTAATGGTAATTTCATTATTTTTCTGACCAGAACTTGCTGGAAACAATTACAGGAATCGTTTTAGTTACCAAATATATATGTTAACTCTATTTTGATACAACTATGTAAAATATAAAAATGAACTCTGCGATGTTCGGTTAATTCACAGGATATTATTTTCAGTGAATTGATTACATAGTATGACTGTTTGAAATTTTAACCATTTACACTGTGTAACACGTTTATAAATCTTATTAGATATTAATGTTATACATCTTATTGAGTAAATTTTGAGGATCTGATCAATCTATTGGTTTATTGTGTTAGCGTAAATGAATATGACATTTGAAATGTAAGCATACCTTTCAGTAGAATTATTTTTGAAAGCAATGAATGAGGAATCACAATATAAGTATACAGTATACGTTTTGCCAATTTCATTTTGTAAATTAATTTTTTCACCAAGTTTACCAAAAACTGTTATTCCATCGACTAAAGTTATTAGTGTAAATCAATAATCATATAGTGGTCTGCTTATTTCGATTTAAAACTATGCACTTGAATGTAAATTCTAGTGATACTATTTACTTTTTATCAAGTAGCAATATAAATGGACTGAAAGCTTGAATTTATCACCCAGCTACAAAACGTCAAAGCTTTTGATCGCTGGACTATTAATATACTTTCATAATTTATAGATGAATTCTAATGTATTTGCACAATTTATTGATATTTTAAATTTGTCGAATAATTAATAATTAGCAATAAAAGTTGTGTTTTATATCATGAATTAATCTTGATTACATAACTGTTGAAATCTAGGAGGTACGTGATATCAATTTCATTTTAACATTGAATTTATCAGTGAACATTCGAGAACGCAACAGAAATTAGATACATGATTTTTAGGCCTTGAGGTCAATGGTCAACCTTTAGACCGCTATGTGGATTCGTGAGCTCTCAAAACTGACGTATCTCATACAAAGATGAAACAGTTGTATAAAACTTTACAATATTCAATGGTTGTTTAGTTAGAAATATTCCATGATGTAAATTAAGACATTTAAGTATTTCCACAACTCTCTTATTGTTAAAAATGTCAATAAAAACAGAATTATATTTGTCCATTAATTATCCTGATAGATGTTTATCTGAATTAATTTCATTTATTATTTCATATAAAAAGTATAAATTGTAGTGAGATCTGGAATTCATTTGAGAACATTTTAATTTCTCCTGTTGCTGAATCACAATGTCCTATGAAACCAAAATCATACGATAATTTTGTTTATCAATTATTTGAATTGGAACAACAACAACTACAACAACAGCAACGTACAATTCAAACTGAAGTAAGTTTAATTATATTCAATAATATTAAGTAATATATATTCCAAAATAATATTTTACGGTTAAACATTAATACTTTTTTCATGAAATAATGATAGTTAATAATTTAGAAATGTATGTAAACAATTATCCAACCCTTGTGTTTGACGTTTCTCGAAAAAAAAAATAATGTTTATTAGTAAAGTAAAGATCAAATAAACTATTTACATTATCAGTACAGAGGTTGTGGAGATTGTTAAGTTTTGATTGAGATCATGAATCGATTAATGTTAGATCACTATTGAAAACCTGGAAACACAAGACGGCCGTTTCGTCCTATTGTGGGACTCCTCAGCACTACGCATCCACAACCCCGCTTAGCGGGATCCAAACCCAGGGTCTTCAATCTCACGTGAGGACGCTTAGCCTACTGAACCACTAAGCTGGCATCCAGTGGTGTTAATGTCTAACCTCAACCAATCTACGAAATCGATTGTCCCCACTCGTGTTCTCGTTCACTACAGGTGTAGTAATGAGTTGTTCAGTCTTATGACGAGTATATATGAATTATCAATTGTTACTTTGTAATTTGCATACCGATCCTCGTTTAATTAACTGTCTTATTTCTATGTAACGGTGATAAGTTTGGACTTGATAGTTTTAAATAAATTGATCATTAGGTAGAAAGTTAATGAAAGAAAATATTTTTGTTATATTTGATTGAGTGAAAAATTGTAATTCTGACGTTTCAAGACTTAATGTAGACCACTGCTTCAGAGTAAATAAATAACCGAATCAAATTAACACAATTTTACATATTGCAGAGGATATAACAAAAAATATATTCATTTGTCCTATTATTTTGGTCGAATATTTAGATATAGTAAGCAGCTTGAATTTATCACAAATAAATTCATGAACTCAGTCAGTCAATAGGTTTTATTTATACAACTTTGATGCATTGATCTCTCTTGATTAACGATGCAAAATGGTGTGGTTACAACCAATTTATTTATAAATTCTAGTGAATAGAGATTATGTTACTTCTCTGAACTTAGATAATTTGGACAAAAATGTAATCAGTGTAGGGATTTGTGAAGATTGTGGTACTTTCGCAGTTGAATTCACGAGTTGATCTAAGCTGGACCACCAGTGGAAACCTGGGAGCATTGAACGGTCGTTTCGTTCTAGTTTGAAACTACTCAGCAGTGCGCATCCAGAAATTCTCACGCGAGACTCGAACCCAGGGCTTTCGATCTCGCGCTCGAACACTTAACATCTAGACCACTGAGCTGCCATCCCACTGTATTAATGTCTAACTTTAGTCGACCTACGATCTTGCCCAACCCTTCACTTATTGTTTGAGGTGGATAACTGTCTCATACCCGACACAGATTGGACTCTACTGATCACGGCTTCTCACTAGAACTCCAGGAAATCTATTTTGAAGCAAGTTTCATACTGGAATGAAACGGCCATGGTCTACCTTAGATCGATTCATGAATTCAACTATAAAAATATAGTCATCAAATGTCTAGGTTTCTTCTTCAGTCTAAATCGTTAAAATCAGTTAATTATATTTGATATGTGGCTAGCACTTTGATCTTGTACTCACATCCCCTCCTGTTTGGAATTCGTCAGATGGACGTACGTAGATTCCAGTTTTGATATTCATAGTGGAACGACCTGGATCCAGTTGTCTTTGGATAGCAAGTTTTTACTTTTAATTAAAAACTGTACCCTGGATTCCGCTGCTAGTCACATACTAATACCAATAACCTGATAATTCAGCGGATCATTCACAGGGTTCTAAATTAAATGTTTTATTGAATTGACACGGTTAACTTTAAAATCTAGACATAGTATTCTGCTACGTAGTTTACGAATATACATGAGTGGAAGTTAAATAATACAAAACAAATATTAATTTTGAAATAAGATGAGCAAAGATTTTTCTTCCATAAATTCTGAAAGAGTTATATGACTGATTTGTAGACACGCACTGAATCATCAGTAGACCGTATTACAGAAGCTAATTATTGATTAGCTACTATTTACTGAATCAAGCATGTCATGCATGAAATTCAGACTAAATGTGGCTCAGTAAAATTAACGAGTCGAAGAATGTTTTCTTGGTTGATACACTGACACTTAACACTTCGCATTTTGAACACTAATTGTAAACTTTGTGCATCAACAACTGATACTAAAATGAACGAATAATTGTAAAGGGTACTGTTTTACTTTAAAAATTATGAGCTACAACTAGTTGTGCCGAACAAAAATTGTTTCCAACAAACAAATTGCGGAGAATTTTATGCATAGCATAGCATTGTTACTTCTTAATGGTACACTTACACCATCGTTTACATTAACCACGATATACGTATAGAATGTTCAACTGGATCAATCAAAATAAATAAATAGTTTCCAGAGAATCGCTCTTTGGTAAGAACGAATAAACGGTGGTAGTTCCAACACTTCAACATTGTTGACGAATGTTTTGAATATAAACTTAGAATGACGTGTACAAAATATCATTCATATATAAAATTATATATGTCTTGTAAAAACGTTAGCATCATATTTATGAATGATATAATTTCCAACTTAAATTGTTCATTTCTATTTTTAAGTATTACTTCCATTCTCAAGTGATGGAGGTCATTCGTGGAATGTGTAAACGTCTTGGAATGTGTCGTTCTCTAGAAACTACATTGCCAGGTTGGGCTTACGAAAGTTTTATAATTTACTTTTATTCACTTCAATTTTGTTATTCGTATTTAAGTTTCTTAAATGTCTATGCCAATTATAAATTAATAAAACTTTGGCTTTGATACTGTAAGTCGAAAGTTTATCATTATCAGTAAAATTCTAAATCTCATAAAATTCAACTATCGTTAAAATATTTCTTTTCTTTTACTGCTTGACCGTGAATGACTACCGATAAAATATTCCATTTCATTAGTGGATATAATTATCAAAACCATTACAAAGACTCTCGGTCATTAAAAATATTTTCTTTCGCAAAATATAATATTTCTATGAATACAAATGTATTTTAGACTTTGAAAATTATTCACCTTTAAATCTTGCTTCACTTAGAGGAATGATTTTCAAAGAATATAATAATATGAAACATATTACATCAAAGAATACAATACTGTCCATGTACCTAAAGTGTAATATATAGTAAAGTAAAAGGATTGTAGAAAGAATACTTAATAAAATTATTTTATTTTAATTGTATTCAGCCTAATTACAAATATATCCGGCGCTTTAACCGGGTTAGTGAATATAGACGATCCACATAGGGGAATTCGAATACCCTGATTCTAAACCACTGATGCACATGGGCTCCAGGATTCTAAAGAAACAAATGGCGTATAAACCAATTGTTGGTCACCGGCTACCATGGGACTGAATCTCCTGATGTTGCTCAACTACCTTGTGAATCAGAAATTTAGGTCGAAGGCTTGGGGAGTGGCTCCCTAAGAAAATCACATGCTTCGATCTGAGCACCTGTACAGTATCACAGCCCATACACAAATCAAATGAAGAAGTGTGACGCATGTCTATTTGTTGCTTCCTTGTACCTATGTCTATGTGTTCAAATAAATAAACTAAATGAAGAGTAAATAGCGACTTATCATTTATTATAAAGTCGAAATTGAAAAAAATACTAAAGCAAACTCATCAACATTTAGCAGTTCTAGGTTCAAAATTCCATTTTAGGCTCCATCAGGTGACTTTGTTAATTGATACTGAGTCGATTTTGTACATATTTAAGTCTTCAAAAGTTATACCCATTGTGGAGCAATTGTAGATATGATTTATACATATGGTAAAGAACAAAGTACTCAAGACATTGCCTTGTATTACACCACTTGTTACAGGCAGATCGTCCTATGGTGAGTGTTCATCTTAATTAGTCGATTCCAGTTATTGAGAAAATGAATTAGACCGTACCAATATGTGATTCCATAAGATATGAGTTTGCTAATAAGATGCTGATAGCTAACAACCTCGAAAGTCTTAGAAACCTATGAGTACGGCAATAAAACTAGATTTATGTGACTACGCTCAGTAATGACAAAGTTAAGGTGACAAATCATGCAAGATCTTGATCTAGGTGGAGTGTGTTGTGAATTAGCAACACCTTTTTCAGCAGCTGAACAATCAGACATTTCATCAAGGACACTTTTTTATGATTCTAGAGATAGCTGAAGTAATAATCGTAGACTTTTAACTTCGTATATCTGTTTTGTTGCCACATATGAAGCATGATATAGTATGTTTAATTTCCAGTGAGTTAAGATACAAATCTATTATCCAAATATCAATTACTCATTATATAACATTATCAATGTGCTGAAAAGACTAATTTAATTCATTTTTTGTTTTCAACTAGGATATCTGTTTGATGATTTGAATTGGTGTAATAAAACATTAACAGGCATGACAAACTATGGGACTTCATGTGGATGCGATCGTAAAATTGTTGTTCGAGCTTACTGGGAAAGTGCTTCGGCTGAGGTATGTAAGAAGTAATTCTCTACCAATTAACATAGTGTTATTCTACATACCACAATAGATTTGCATTAAATAGTGCAGCATTAATTAAAAACTGTCATGTGTAATAAAATAATTTCGTATGAGATTCTTTAATGATCTGATGCTGAAAATCGTCAAATAAGTATTAAGTTTTTTATGATGATTGCACTAAACTATCTTCAGCGTCTCCGTTCTTTTTAGTTCGAATGAAACGTTAATCTAATTTTTTGATATCGCGATATGTTTACACATTCGTAATATAGAAAATGTCATATGAATAATTGCATGTTATCAAATTGAAAGTGATAGTCAGTAATTGTTAGGGTGTGTTGTTTTTAAATCTAGTTTGGAGCTTGGAAAATAATTTTCTTTTATAGAAAATATCGTTTTGAGTAATACTTCCTAAATGAGGCGAATTAATTGCTTACGGGTAATTAGAACTCGTAAATCATATTCAGTGCTAATCTAACGCTTCAAACAAAATGGGGTTCAGACTGGCTGAACAGAAATGAGAAGATAAGCTAAAATTTGATTTGGCTTCAACACCCTCCTTCCAAAAATAACATTTACAACACAAATGTAATAAGAAAATTTCTCATATCATAAACATATACCGTTTCTACAAATGATACACTTACCAAATCTAACAATCTACACATATCTGCTATCTTCACCAACTCGTTCACTTGAAGATGAATAATTGTTTCATATTGAAGAACTTTGATCGAGTTGTCTTATACAGGCTGAGATTCCTGTAAATTCTGGTTTGCTACTACTCTTATGATGCAATTATCATTGAATAGTTGAATGCTAGCGAAAGCAGTTTCGTTTTTTCTTCGAAACCATTGGAAAATACAACTTCTTAATAATAATGAACGTATCTATGATGTTCAGATCCATATGAATATCAACTGTTAACGTAGTTAAATTCTGAGCAGTCAGAAGATTCATAACTGATTTGAAGTTGACATATTTAAGCGTTTGGAAGTTTTAATTATCTTTTACCAAAATTCACATCTTCATTAAGTCAAAAATAAGAGAGATAAAAATGAATCCACAGATTTCTAGTAATTAATATTGTAACAGCAGAGGTTTGCAGCTCCGAAGGATGGTTTTAATATCGTTAAGTTTTCTGAGATAGACGATTTAATTCCGGAGCTCAACATTTGCTCGCTTTAAATAAATAACAGAATACTGAAAGTAAACCAGTTAATGACTTGTATTCTTACACGAAATGCCTTTATTTTAGTTTGCCAGGAGAGCATCTGGTAACGTCTTTGTGGTACTGAATGGCTCGGCCAAGGTTCCATTTGATGAAAATAAGTGAGTTTTTTAATACATTTATCTTTTAGCCAATTCATTCTTATCGAGTTAATAAAAATCTTTAGGAATATCTAATGATATATTCATTGACACACGTTTATTACCTAATTAACGAAACAGTTTGTGATGCACGAGATAACATTTAAATTGAAATAATGGGTTAAGTCTAAGAATCTTCTTTAGTAATCTTCCATATTAGGAAAAATATGGTTGAGTAAAGCGTTGGTTAGTTACACTCTAAAATTAACGAATTTTTCACACGAACTGCAGCATCATTCATATTCAACACAATTAACCATGATTCATGGAGCTTGGATTCATCATGAACAAATCATCTTTGATTATGTTTTTCATAGGCAGAATTTTTTTGTTGAAATGAGACTTTCCTAACAAGTTAAACATTAACTATTGAAACTCAATAATCTTTATGTTGAACACTTACCTTTCAAAATCACTAAAAACGAATCCGTTGAAGAAATGTGTCAAATTCAATTTACAATGACCCAGTACTTTGAACATGTCTAAAAATGAGTTATATTTATTATCTGATATGCATGAGGATGAAATTCATAATTGTACTCAATACTGCCAATCGGCTTTCACTAACTTGTACCATCTGTATAACAGAACACATATCCATCAGACTATACAATAGTGAGTGTATTAAACATCAGTTTCATTTGAACTGTATTAAGACTGTGGAATATACTTTATGAAGTTGGGAGGCTTGATTAAGTTGGTAATACTTGATCAAATATGTTTTTTAAGTAGTTCTCAGGAATTTCGTGACTATTAGATTAAAGATATTGTGATTAGGCATATAGTTATGTCATAAAAATGATATACTTATTAATGAAATTATGAACTTTATAAAACACATTCCTCCCTTAAAAATTCATCCGTAACAAAGCATTTGAAATAATGAATAAATAAAATAATAATTTGTTTGTTTTTTTGTTTAATATATATAATTTCAATAGTTGAGATCATGAGTTAAATGAAACTAGACCACCAAGGAAAACCTGGAAACACTGGACGGAACGGCCGTCCAACTCTTCACTCATGATCTCAACTATTGAAATTACTGTAATATCCATATATATATATATATATATAACTGTATTTATTGAAACGGTTATATCTTATTTAACTATTCAATTTGTATTGCATTTTATGCTGTAAGAACTTTTGGAAGCATAGAACTACCACTGTTAAATGGTCCTCGAGTTAAACAAGTAACTGTGAAATTAATTCATAGTTTGGAAGATTTCGCTTACCGGTAAGTGTATTTATCATCTGAAAATGAGTCTCATTTAAAACCATTTAAAAATTATTAGTTAATATTGACTAATAGATTGTAGTTTATGCTGAGGGGGACATGTATAATTCGGTTTGTGTTAATTGTAATAAGACGAACATGTTAATAATTAAAAGAGATGTGGAATTCTACTATCAAGTTTTCATTGACATATTCACTTGTTTATAAAATACAGTATAAAATTCCTTTGTGTATTTTACGTGTTCAAATTAATACACAATCTATAAACATTAATAAAATATAATAGTTATATCATTTAGTATGGCTCATGTAACTGATACATGTTTTCCATTCATTTGTTAGCCAAATTTTTTGCTTGAAATTAACATAAATACAAACTTGGAACTCAGTGACAGAAAGTTAGACTTTTTAACCAGCAGTCACCACTCACTACCATAGTAACAATAGTCACACTCTAGCTGCGTTGGTATTAGTGAGTGTTAATTACTTAAATCAACAGTTTCCGTTTTGTCATTTTACCATTAATATCAATTTTAGAGTAAGTGTTGTGTGACTATTATCATGGTAGTTTAGACCACTAATGTAGGGACCTTGTCTTAATCTCTGGACAAGTTATTTATCTCACTTTTTCAACTAGACTTACACGCCTATTTTCTTGAGTAAGTTTATAAATATATTAGACGAATTACCCTAGTCGTCCCAGCTATTTTATCATATATTTATCTGACCTTATCAAATACTGGCAGGTAACTGACCACTTTATTATACTCATTATAGTATATACGTGTCCATCCATTTCATTTATATTCTACACGACTGGTAAAAACTGAGTCACCTTTTTGTTCTGAGTTCCTATTTCACCAAGCTCCAACGCTTTGTACATTCGCTGAATCTCTTATTGCTTGTCTACCATCCAAATTTAGCACGTCTGAAATATACATATCCTAAATACGATTCATATTTGACTTCTGTTCTCTATGTTACATTAACATCATTTATCGACAGGATGTGTACGAGGTCAATAGAATCTATGTGCAGTTGACATTATTATTCAATCATGATGAAGTCAACCAAGTACTAAACTAAAAATTGACGTATTGTTGTTAGGAATACCTATTTTATGAGTTACATAGTAGTAGATTGATTTTTTATGAAACATTAATTCAAGAACTTAACATTTTAGTTCAGAATTCGAACTACTTATTCTTTTTAGTAAACTTTCGAACATGTACTTCAACTTTTGAGTGAAGAAAATGAGTACCATAATTTTTTGCTGTAAATATCCCATTAGTTCATGAATGTATTCTTTATCAACTTTGACTTGATTTTACACAAATGTTTACACCATTTATCTGTAATAAAAAATCTCAGTATTTTCCACATGTATTTCTGCTGGATTATGGTTCACAACTTCAATTCCTGATGTTTTATACAAATCCAGCCCCTTGAGATTATTCTTTCATTAATATAATATTATAGATAGGTATGTTGAATGTTATCTAGAGGTTTGTTTGAAATCCATAAACAACCAAGTGATTCTGTATTTTGATGATTACTCAATGCACCCTCCTTTTAAGGACTTGTGATGCACTGAATAACATTTGAAGTTGTTGCTCAACTTAGAACAGTGCATATGGGGTTGATTTGAATAAATAGATACCTGGATGGATGAAGCACAATAAAGGTGATTTAAATTAATGTTCTATGATAATTTCCCTACTTTCAAAGATTTTTATCACATTCATCATTATTCTTGTTGTCGATTCCCTACTAGACAAACGTGTGAATCGTGGAGTCTGCAACAACTTGCAAACAAACTGAACTCTTCGCATATTCTTTTTCGCTGCATCGATGATCCTTTGTAAGTTGACAATTAACTTTAGAAAACCAGAAAATAACATTTAACCTTTTTGCCGGCTTTCAAAACATCAAACAATACTATTGGGTAGATTTTTGTATTTTACAATGTCTAAAATAATCGTTTATGTTTGAAACATTGGACATCTAACATTAAAATTTTGATTTAAAGAGAACAAGTTTTATCGTATGCCTTAAGTTGAAAATTGTATTTTCTAAATCAGTATAACCAACACCGTGATTTGTCATTAAAAGTGTTGGAATATTGTTAAATAGGCATTACATTGCTATTTAAACCATATTTTTTCATCACAATTTTCATTTATATTGTGCTTTTTATTTTCAGGGAGTTCAGACATTATCAATGCATTAAAACTCCTTACAAGCAACGATGTCAGTTTTCAGCTTCGACGAGGTCAAGCGTTGTAGAGACATTACTAACACTTTTATCACTAGTCATTTGTTTAACTTTATATACTTGCATGAGTTGAAATAACTTTTCAGCGAAAAGAAAGTAAATACAACTCAGGAACAAAAAATTTTGTTTTCGACTATGGTGCTGTACTGTCGTATCTATTGTTATCAGGCAAATGTGGTTGTATATTTAAAACTCAAATGAACAACCACAAGTTATTTGGAAAATTCAAGTATCACAGACAGGCTGATTAATGATCTGAAGGTTAAAGCAAACAGGTAGGATCAGATGTACGATTGATAATTATACATCCGATAAATATAGAGAAGTAATAAAACACTTCGCATAATAGTCATGTGAAGTCGGAAAAGGGGAATAACAAAGCTAGCGAAAGATTCTGTCAACTAGGTCTAACACTAAAATGATAACGTTCTGAGTTTCCTCGTGATGATAAAGGAATAAAACACTAACGAGTAACATCTTTTCATACAGTGTTAAATCAAGAGTCCACCAGGAAGCTTTATTGATCGTATACTTCAATCATATATGAGAAATTAACCAGGTTCGATTAACGGCATACCAATCAAATGAAGCTGAAATTATGTAAAGCATTCTCAACGAATCAGTGAACAGATAAAAATGTCCAACGTCTTCGTCTGTCGAAAGCTAATGGTGTATACAAATGTATTATCAATAAAGCTGCTGCACTAGCTTCCCACTAGAACGTAGATGCAACAAATAATGTCTCTATTCGGGAGTAACCATAAAAATACATCATGTGGAAACAAAAAAATAACGAGGATCAAAACATACTCTAGTTTAGGAGAGACATAACAACACTAGGTTACTTGTAAAGTCGTGATGATATAAGTGTTGTTGTGATAAGTCGTGGTGATAAGTGATACTAATAAACCTAACATTTATGCGAGTATTAAAAACGAACGTTTGTTGTGCACGAAGTCAGAATCAACCAGAATATTGTAAATGTAATAAGTAAGGTTCTACGATTCAATATATGATCCGTAACTTTGTAGCGGTTAATAAATCTCCAAAATAAATTGCTCTGTAAGTGTTTGACATTGGATGCTGATCACATCAGTTTCAATGGAATCACCTAGCTGAAGGCGATGGAATATGCATCTGCACCAGATCATCAGTGCGAACACCATACTCAACATCCCCAGTGATGGCCAGCCAGTCTAGATCAGTCGATCCTCGAAATGTTGATAAACTATCAAATATATCTTCGAACCTCTTCGCTTCTCACTTTTAAATTCACTTGATTGGTACGATTCATAGTAGGAGGTGTTACTGGTTAAAGCGTTGTCAAACCACTTGATTCCTAAACTTTCTTCATTGAACTTTTTTAAAATTTGGAGTACTATTGAGCTCACTCGCTTTATTGTGTAGGTGATTTGAAGGATGGTTCTGGTGAAACAGTGGGTATTCTAGAATTGAACTACTTGTTGATTAACACCCAATATTTCAAACGCAGTCAAGCTTAGCATCCGAAAATAACGATCTACGCATGTCATGTTTTGTGTTTAACTCTGTCTGTGACATGCAATTTGTTGTATAAACCCCTTTACTCCGTCTTTGACCGTCTATTCTGGTTTTGGCAATCAGTGAGAACTGAATACATTATCTCCTATTTTCAGTTTTCCACGTGAATTTTTTAACCGAGGTAACAGGAGACTAGAATCCAATACATAAGTGTTTAATAAAGTCCATAGTGCTTCGTATCATATTGCTCCTCACTTTGCAGCACAGTGATCTCGAGTGGTAAGAAAATTAAACTCCGGTTCGACAGTGTGCTTGTCATCTAATCAGAATGAAGCAGGAATTGTCATTTGTGTCATCGTTATAAGCATTGGCGGTTGGATCGCCTTGTTCTCTTTTCTCGCTGCAATATTTTATCTTCCAGCGTGCTGAAATTCCGTTATTTATTTGATGTCAATCTTGACGATAAGGTTTTTGAATCGGTTCCGTCTCCTCAGTTGCCAGTAGTTAAACAGATTTCGGATGTTGATCCTTAGCCAGTTGCATTTAGTTAATACTTAGAATATTCCTCTTCTAGAGCTATGTAATCTCATACTGATCGTTTTATAATTTTAACGCTTAAGCACATTAACGTAAATTAAAATTTAAGCAACTCTGGTTACTGAACACATGTGTTTCATTACTTCCCTAAAGCTTGATTACTATGTTGACTGAAATGAATTATATGACAACAGGTATATCATCAAATTAAAGAGGTACCGTAATTGCTGTTCTTCTTGAACAGTTATGTTATTAAAATAGTTGACTATAGACGACTAGGCCTATAAACACAACAAACAAACTATAAGCTAATTAGACTTACCTAGAAGACAAAGCATATTATTTCAAGACTGAAGATCACAGCTATTTAGGTATCAAAAGATGGTTTATAGCACAGCTACTAGAACCGTTTTCCGTTATTCACTGAAGGTTTGCTACGAAACAACCACGACTATTATTAAGCTTTCCATAGCTTAGGCCATCATCTCAGCATATAATGCACGTGTCTGGTGTAACCCAATTTGACATAATGAATAAAAGTTACAGTCACAGCTCTTTGTATGTGGGCTAGAGGACTGAGATATGGTTCCCCGACTAAGTACTATGTATTCGCTTTCAACAACTAAGACTTTCCGGTTGATAACGTTCTAAAGAGTAGTCATATTATAGCATGGTCCTCACTATCTGATGAACGCCAATGTAAAGAGATCTAAGGGCATCGCATAACGTAACAGACAATTTCCTTTGATGGAAGACGCGTATCAACAGTCGTCCAGGAAGTATGTAGCTCATCTATGTAACCAAAACAATATTGAAAGGCGCAGGACAGCGAACCTTTCTCACGAGTCTAAAACCAATTGCAAATATTAGATATGGATGACAGAAGTCACTCATTAACTTATCGATTATAAGTTCAAAGACATATAATGATAGCAATTTATATTCAGATAACAATATGTTATAGAATGGAAATAGATGAAAATCTTACAGACATTATATGGTTTACCGTAATAAGTTAGGTTGATATATAACATAATATAGTCACAGGGGGGTAGATTCATGTACATAAGAATATTAATAATGTTATGATCGACCAGAATATATAGCAAGTGCAAGTCATCCCTACAGGCATGATCGATCACACTTCGTGTATCTGGAAGCCCTGATTCTGCTTCCCGTGGCCTCGCCGGCGTAGGTATAGCATTGAGTCCTAGGGCAGAACTAGCTCTCTTAGAGTGGATCCCAGTAGTCAGTCGTTTGTGCGCTGTCCGACTAAACGGAACAGTAAGGATCCGAAAAGATAGGGACACTCGTCGTTGCCTCTTCGTCGTCTCTGCCTATTCCCCCACTGACTGCAGCGCAGATGATGTAAAAGATGAGTTTTACAGAAAGCTCTCCGACCTTATCCGAAAAGCTAGGCGCTATGATGTAGTAATAGTGGCCGGTGACTTTAATGCTCAAGTAGGTAAACTAAGCGATAGGGAAAGACACCTGGGTGGATCTTATAGTGTCGTGGCTCAAAGAACAGATAATGGCGACCGTCTGTTGCAGCTATGCTCAGATAACCGCCTGTTCCTTGCAAATACTAACTTTAAGCATAAGGAAAAACATCTTTTAACATGGCGACCCCCTAATTCGTCCCAACGTTGGACCCAAATAGATCACATCGCCATCAGCCACCGATGGAGGGGCTCGATAGAAGAATGTCGCTCATTCTGGAGCACATGCTTAGATTCAGATCATGCTCTAGTACGGGCTCGTATCTGTCTGCGTCTTACTGGACATAAGAAAGACGCTGCAAGGGAACCTCTTAGGGCCCTACTTAATGATAACCAAACTAAGAGTATATTTCAGGAACAACTAGGAAAACAGTTAGGCAGCCATGTATGTGCTGCCCACCCCGAGGCAGCATGGAATGATATCCGTAAAGCTGTGGAAACAGCAGTGATATCTGCCAGTACGGTAACCCGTAATGTTAGGGATAAGCACTGGATCTCAGTACCATCTATCGCACTGATAGATGCTCGGAAACTCGTTTCACCTGGCTCTGAACATAATGAAGAGCGGAGTCAGCTTAAGCGCAAGCTGACAAGAAGTCTACGCAATGATCGCGAACAGTGGTGGGTAGCGAAAGCAAGAGAGATGGAAAAGGCAACGGCAATAGGTAATAGCAGACAATTGTTTAGACTCGTTAAGGAAACCGGAATTAGGAAACCGACTGTTAGCGAAACACTCTCAGAGAAAGATGGAGAGATTGGATCGATGGGCAGAACACTTCAGGGATCAGTTCAATTGGCCTTCAGCCACACTTCGTTTTCCCACGATCTCTAGTCAACCTGAATGGCAAGTTAATGTAGGTCCTTCGTCTCTTTACGAAGTTAAAAAAGCTAGGAGAAATCTGAAGCGAGGGAGAGCAGCAGGCCCTGACAGGTTTACTCCTGAGATTTTTGAGGATGGTGGTTCAGTATTAGCAGTGAGATTAACTGAGGTCTTAGGTAGAATCTGGGAACTGGACGTAATCCCATCTGACTGGTCTCAATCACTGATTGTGCCAGTTTTTAAGAAAGGACAAAAGTCCTCTTGTGACAATCACAGAGGAATCAGTTTGACTAATATAGTGTCTAAAATATTGGCTTCAATATTACTTCGACGTCTAACCAAAGCTCGTGAGGAGCAGACTAGAGAAAATCAGGCTGGTTTTCGACCTGGACATGGTTGTATAGATATTCACACTACGTCAGGTTCTAGAACACAGACACACGTTTGGACGCCCCACAATGGTAGTATTTCTCGACTTTAAGGTGGCATTCGACTCTGTTGATCATAAGGTTCTATGGCAGTGTTTGTCACTGAAAGGAGTACCAAAGAAGTATATTAACCTTATACAGGCTCTCTACTCGAACACAACTGGTAGAGTGAGAACTTATGGCGAACTGTCATCAGAATTGATTACCTCAAGTGGTATTCGTCAGGGCTGCCCACTCTCCCCATTCTTGTTCAACTTTGTTATCGACGTACTTTTAGAGATAACACTTTCCTCATCTGACTTTCCAGGGGTTGAACTTCTACCGGGAGGTTCACTTG